TTGATAAATTCGGTGATGAAACTTTTATTGTAACATTATTACGATTGATGGATTACCATTATACATGTACACGTACACATGTGGATGAAACTATCAATAGAATGAAATTATTGACGATGTCAATATTAAAAGTTGAAATAAAAGAATTATTAAAATCTATTATACATGAACAAATTACTGAAGACATATTGAATAGAAAAGCTCCGTTATTCTTTCAATTACAAAAACATGTTGTTGAAGAATTGATTCATTTTCTTGCTGAACCATCTTTAATCGTTATGAATAATTATAATGATAAAACTATTGATGAACAAATGTTAATTAAACAATCAAATTTAGATTTTCTTCTAAATATTGTAAATCTCTTTTTGGAATTATTGACCGAGTTTGAGATGAAAAAATATAATATCGATTTGATGATTCAATTATTATTTCCAGCATTATTTATCAAGGTACTCTTCGATCTATTTTTATTAGTACCATCACATCAATCCAAAATATTTATTCTTCATGTTTTTACCACGTAAGAACATTCAAATTGAATAGACATGTTTGTAGTCGATGGATTCTTTCTATTCATTGTACTAGAAAATTTTCTTTCTATTTTGTGAACCTTCATCTAAAATGAGTATTCCACAATAGTAGAGCAAGAATTTTGGGATCGAAGAAGGTCAGCTTTCCCCTGCAATCCTTTGTGCTCCTCTCTCTCTCTCTCACAGACGTGACAGACGTTGTTGACATACGATCAAAGACCGTATATCAATAACGTCTTGTTACTATACATGAACTATTTTCTTATTGCATTTCTTGATGATTAAGTAAAATAAATTCTCTAAGAATATTGACGAGTTCAGTGAATATATCTAAAAAAATCGACCAAAAAATAAGAATTCGAATCAGATTTGAATTCAGATTTTATCTATATTTTTAAACTAGATTGATTCAAACAAGTGAAAATTTCAAACTTCACAACAATATTCAACATTTCATTCTGCAGCTTTTTATTGAATTAACAACAAACAAAGCATGTTTAAATAATTTACCATTGAAAAATTTTCGAATTGCTATCATGGATTTAGTATTTGCTCTGTTCGAAAGACAAAAAGAATTGCTTTTAGTATTAAATGAATGTTCATTAGAAGCACGTAATTTATCGATAACCCTTGATGTTATCAATGTTTTAACAAACAAAACAAAACAATGCCAATGGCCTGAATCCTTTCTTACACAATCAAGTACTAATTTAGGCGAAACGCTTCCATTGACTAAAGAAATAGTTGACGCAGCCGATGTTTATTTCAATAGGAATGCTGATGAACAATTAATGAAATTTATGAATCAGAATATCAATCGTGATTGGAATCCATTGCCACATGAGTCACTTAATCAATTTATCGAAAGTCTACCAGCTGAGTCTGTTCCTGATTCAACCAAATATCATTCATTTAGTTATTTACGTGATATACCATCGATACATATACAAACACGTGCTAAACTTTTCTATTTATTCAATATATTCGTTGGAAAAGTCTTACCAATAATTGATTTAAGTTTACCACCAGGCAGTAGTAATCTTACGAATCAAATTCGAGCAGCACGAAATTATATATTGAATACAACAAAATTTCAATTATTTGATGATGCTTTATCTCAAACTGCATCTAGTGCAGGATTATCACCAGAGAGTGTAAATTTTGACACTGTAAAAGCTAGTCTTGCTGAGCATCCTGAAGATACAATGTTCTATCAAGCATATAAGCAATTATATTCTAATGCGTCTCGAACATTTCGACGAACGAATGACGAAAGACCTTGGGTAGCCGTTTTTATCGGCATGCATAGTAGTGATGGAGGTGGACCCTTCAGAGATTCAATAACACGCATGTGTGCCGAACTATGCAGTACAAAATTACCATTATTTATTCTTTGTCCTAATGGACGAACAAACAGTGGTTCAAATTGTGATCGATGGATTCCGAATGTTTTTCCACCAAATCGACCCATATCAGATGAATTCAAAAATCAATATCGTTTTGTTGGAAAATTAATGGGCATGGCTATACGTACAAGAAACCTTTTAGATGTTCGATTTCCAATTTTACTCTGGAAGCAATTAGTACAAGAAAAAGTTACAATCGAAGATATTGAAGCTATTGACATATCAAGTTTTTCTATTATCAATCAAATGGAAGAAAATATTAAACAAGTAAAAAGTCTCAATGAATATGAAGATGGTGATATAAACAACAATTGTGATTATTTATTTAGTAGTATTATGAGTGAATTAACATTTGATGTTGTTAGTTCAGCTGGACAAACGTATGAACTTATTCCTGATGGTTTTCATATTCCTATTACTGCTGCTAATTTCGAAGATTATTGTATGCGCTATCGTCAATATCGTATCAATGAATTTCATCGACAAATTGATTTTATTCGTCAAGGTTTATATAGTGTCGTACCATCGGCTTATTTAACTCTGTTTACTGCTAGTGAATTAGAAGAAGCTGTTTGTGGTAAAGGTTATATTGATATTGCAATGTTGAAACGTCATACCTGTTATAACAGCGATAGTGAAACTACGCCACATATCGTTCGATTTTGGTCTGTTTTAAGTGAGATGTTTAGTGAAGAACAGAAAAAACTATTTTTAATATTTGTTTGGGGACGAAGTACATTACCGAATAGAGACGACGATTTTTCCTTGAGTTTTTCAATAAGTCGTCTGGAACCAACTGGCAATGTTGATGATGCTCTTCCAAGTAAGTTTATTGAAAATTTGATATCTATCAAATAAGAGAGAGAGAGTTCTAGACAAACTTTCGACAAAGGTCTATATTCCTCGTAAAGCCTACTTATACTAGAAATTTATTTAACTCTCTTTCTCCACTCATAGCAGTTCCTGAAGAGCAACTTATAATATTATCTTATAGATAGATTATTAATCTCTCTAATATGTTAGCAATTTGATTCAATCCATCGAGTGTTTGCTCGTTTTTCAGGATGATTTGGTTAATGTAGTGATCATTTAGTAGAAACAAAAAGGCATTTGACGATATGAAAGGTTATGTTTTTTCTTCTTTCATAACAGTATCTTGCGAACGAAACCAGCATCTATTTCATAGTATTCGAGTAACAAAAGAAAAGGATGTGTTATTTGATGTATCTTGCGAAATAATCATCTATTTTTCTATGAGCTATTGTATAACCACGGAAAACATTTTATTCATAATAAGTGTGATTTCAACTTTTCCCTTGCCAAATTTTACAATACATATATTTATTTTGTTCTTGATTTCTCTCTGCCTATATCATGGTGACTACATGGTTCATTGTGCAACCTATGTCTGTAATATATGAAGCTGTTGTGGAACTAAAAAAATATATCTAAATCACTAAGAGATCTGTTTATCAATGTATATTACACAGCAAATTTTGAAAAATCTCTGCTTCCTGTTAGACGATAATATTTGGTTTAAAAAAAAGTCTCTTTTTTTTTCAAATTTATCGGTTTCGAAAGTTCATTATTTTCAAGATGCAACGATAGTAAGAATTCCTTTTCACAAATCGATAGTTCATGAGGTTTACTAAAACAGTGCTTACAAAAAATTGGAATTTCATGCATCATTTAATTTTTGAAATCAATTTATAAATGATCTCTCCAGCGAACAAGGAAGTTGAAAGCTAAAGATCTCATCTGATGTTTATTATTAGTAATAAAAAAAGCAATATAATAATATTGAGATCCAAGGTCATAAACCAGTCTACACCATCTGATTTTCTTTTAGTCCAACTGTATTGAGTCACTCTTGCATTGAAAATCAGATCGAATATTATTCGAGTAGAATTTTTTGTATCACAAATGTATATATGATTCAGATATATTAAGCAAATTTCTGTATTCATTTTTAGCAATGAATTGAATCATTTGATTTCTCTTCTAGAATCGCACACATGTTCATTCGCTCTTGATTTACCTCAATATTCAACTAAAGAAATTGCATATGAACGTTTGAATTATGCTATTACCTATTGTTCCAGTATCGATGATGATTGGAACATGAATTAGTTGTCTATCAGTATTCATTAACTAATCTTAGATTCAAATTCTACAGGGTGGCTTAATCAACTAATAAAACAATTTCATAACACGAGTGATTTTTTTTTGCTTTAACACCTGATCTAAATCGATTCAATGTTGCTTATCATATTCATCTTTGAATAGAGCCTTTCTTTTTTTAGTAGAACTCAGTTTTATTTTCTTTCTAATCTGATTTAGTAGAATACTACTAAAAGCATATGAATAAATGCTACTGATAAGCGAACATATCAATATTCGATCAGAGAGAATATACGCATTCAACAATCAATAAAATTCATTGTTATCTATCAAAAATCCAAATAAATGTCAGCAAATATCTCCTATGATATCAGAACATTAATAAAAAAGAAATATAATTATCAATGGGAGCAACGCAACGAATCATCACAAGTATCTCTTAGTTATTATCATCTGTTGATTATAATGTGCATGAATCTAACAGACAAGTGATGCGCAATAATTAAAGCAATATATTTCTTCTCCTCATCTTCCATGTCAAAAAACAAGTAAAGTTGAATTGAAAAAGTAAAAATCTTGTCTGTTCGACGGACCAAAAAAAGAAATGAAGCTCAAAAATATAGAAAGTATATGATTATTGTTGACATTAGAAGGACAAGTGATACATTCCAATAAGAAAAATGCAATTTTTCAGAAGAAATGAGCATCATCTCATTGAACGCGGTCAAGTCTTTTTGATTGATGATGGATGCATTCAATGTCGTAAAATGCAATTTCAACTGTTACTTTTAGGTTTGAACATAATGATCGTTACAATAGATATAGTTTGAAAATAGGCCGATTGAATATATGTTTCTTTCTCAATCTATATGATTTATATTAGATAAACCATAAATAACTATTAGATTGAAAAAAATTGGATAATCACCACTTTATTAAGTAATAGAAGCTTATTTTAACTATGTTTTATTTTCGTACGAATACGAGAAATAAACAAACTTTTCTAAAGAAAAAGTATATGAACCGATCGATCGATAAGTTTCAATTTAAGGTTCTCATTTATCGGGCATAATTTTATATTTATACACCATGACAGGGTAGATAGAGAACCGTTTTATCACAAACTATAACAAGTCAATAAAATTAACGAAAGACTACAGCTTACCGATAACATGATCGGTAAACTGCGGTTTAACGCTAAAAGTGATCTGATTTTCGTGACATGGATATTTATTTGAAAGTTGAATTATATAATCTTTTGATTATTCATCGTATGAATTATTTATGATGACCATTACTTGTCATAATAATGCATTTGATAGACAGGT